AGGGATGGAGATTATGTACTCAAAGAAGAATATCATTTTGCATCAGTTGAAGTACAAACTTGAACTTCTGAAGAGATTTAAGCTGCAAAATTGTAAAGTTGCTGTGACACCATCAGAAACCAATCAAAAAATGGATTCTGACTCTAATGGTGATTCTGTTGATACTACAATCTTCAAACAATTGGTTGGTTCTCTAAGGTATTTATGCAATACTAGACCTGACATATGTTATGCAGTTGGATTGATTAGCAGATTCACGAGTAATATAAAGTGGTCTCATTTCCAAGCTGCTGTCAGAATTCTGAGATATATCAAAGGAACTCTAAAATATGGAGTGTTGTTTCCTTCTGAAAGAAAGACAAAACCAAAATTAGTAAGTTATTCTGATTCTGAATGGTGTGGAGACAGAGTGGACAGGAGAAGTACTTCTGGATACTTGTTTAAATTTTTGAGAGGTCCCATTTCCTGGAGTTCCAAGAAACAGCCTGTTGTGGCTCTGTCAACATGTGAAGCTGAGTATATCGCAGGTGCTGTAGCTGTTTGTCAAGCTGTTTGCCTTCTGAATCTCTTGCATGATCTAAAGGTTGAAGTTGAGGAACCTCTAAAACTGATGATTGATAATAAGTCTGCAATTGATCTTGCCAAGAATCCAGTGCTACATGGAAGAAGCAAGCACATTGAGACGAAGTATCATTTTCTCAGAAGTCAAGTGCAAAAAGGAGTGTTAGAAGTTCTGCACTGCAGCACCCAGAAACAACTAGCAGATCTTCTGACGAAGGCAGTTAAGACAGACCAATTTCTTCGCTTGAGAGATGAAATTGGTGTTGTTAGCTTCTCATAGAATATCTAAATTAAGGGATGGTATTGGAAAGATAATTTAGTTAATGTCTACAATTCTCAATGCTTATATTTTAATAGGGCCTTTTGACATTTTCAATATTTAGTATAAATATGCTATTCCAGACTATCAATAGTGTATCCTACTTTATCTTCTCTATTTTGATATACAAAAGTAATCTTTTGTTATCATTCTTTTGTTCATTATTCTTTTGTCACTTCATTACCTTGCACCAATAAATTTATGTAATAATAAATATATATGAATTTATACAATAATATGATAATATACAGTAATATAATAATACTAAATGATAATTAACTACAGAGTAAAATTGTATTATTAAATATATTTTAATATATATTTTTAAGATTTTTAAATATATTTTAATATATTATTAACGTTATTTCCTTTATAATTTTTTTAAGATTTAATTTCTTTACATATATTATTGTTTAAATATTTAAATATTCAGAGATGTATCATACTGCAAAAAATATTGACGTTTTATTACTAAATATTGAAATATTCTTTAGGGATATTATTGTTAAAACGTTAACGGTTTATTGCTAAATATTTAGAGATGTATCATACTACCAATAAATCATGTAATAACCCAAAAAGTATTTACTGTTAATATAATTATAAGTATACAATTATTTTTTATTTTAAAAAAACAATTAATATAATTGTATACAGTATAGTATAATATTAATGTAATTCTATATTAATTAATGTGTTACAAATATTATAATATATTTATCATAAACGTTAATAGTTATAGGTTAACTATAAAAAAAAATTCTATTTATAAATCTATTTTATGATAGTATTTTAATTTGATAATTAACATATTATTGTATTAAAGATTATAATTAATATATTATAATATTAATAATATTAATATATGATTATAATATTATTGTTATTAATAGATAGTAATATTATTGTTATTTTAAAATACAATAAATTTCTATATTTATAATTTATTTACATTGAACTTATAAAAAATGTTGGTTAAGTATATGTCAAATATGTTCCAACTATATATATTTATGATTGTAAAATTGTTTAAAACAAAATGTTGGTTCAGTTGTTAATGTGATTTGGCTCGTGGTAAGGAAACTTTCCTATCTATGTTAACTTTTTGATAATATTGTGTGTTTTGAACAATACAACATTCTTATTTTTCATTTTTTATACTATACATCATCTTTTCTCTCTTTCATCTAATAATTCAGTATTCATTCAATTTTTATTTACTACAATTATTTTATTTAATAAAATTCAACACTCTACTCATCATTTTCATGTCATATTTTTTTTATATATTTATTTTTATGATTATATATTAATAATAATTATTGATTGAAATTAAATTAAAATAATTAAGAGTTAAATAATTTATTTTAATTTTTTTCTAATTTAATAACTTATCTGAATTTTATTTTTCTAATTTTATATTTTAGTAGAATTTTAAATGTTAAAAGAGTTATTATTGGAATCTATTTCACTAAAAAGATGGTTACAGCTACAAACAAAAATTGATTGGAGGCTAAATAAAAAATTTAGAAAGAAAAATCTCGATTTTTGTGTGTCCAAATCTAATGAATCAAGTCTTTATTTATAGAAAATAAATAAATTTTGATAAAAATAAAAATAAATAAAAATTGATTTAATATAAAATAATTAATTTCAAATAATTAAGATAATATAAAAATCTAAACAATCACAACAACTAATAAAATTTTGTAAAGTATTATGTGTGACTCTCACACTCTCTTCATTTAACATGTTAATGTTTTTAACACTAATTAATCTATATTATTTTCAACATTTCATTCAACACAAGATTATAATTATTTTACTATTGAATAATTTTTTCAATATCTTATTGAAGAAGTTTTAAAAAGAATATTTATATGATTAAATATGTATTTAATTCGTATAGACTTTTGTAGTCCCTACACTCTACAAAAGTATATTTTGAGGAGGGCATAGTATTTGTCAATGTCCCCCACGCACGCATTGCTTTCTTGTCATTTACATTTTCTAAAAGCATAATGTCAAATTCTCAATCTCAATAGTTAATGTCAAATTTAACCATACAATACCAATGATGAAAAAATATCATAACCTCAAATTACCATATTTTATCTTCACATGCTCATTATATTAATAAATGTTTCTTTATTTTTGTACCCAAAAAAACTTTCTTTATTCAACCTTTACAATAGTCCTACCTAGACTTATTATTGGAAGATTATTTAAAATAACACATTAACTATGATAATCTAATTAAGCCAAATTTATAACTTACTAACGTAATTTATAAATTATAAATTATTTATTGTATATATAATTGGTTCATTGTGCCGACAAAATTCCACAAACACTATACACTTTTAGTGGCCGGTGGATTTCGGATACTATTATTAGAATGCCACTTACAATAAAAAAAGACTACTTTATAAAGCAATTGATATTTTCAACAAATAATAACTCAATTAAAATACCACTTAATAAATTTAATTAAAATATAAACAAAATTCTACTAGTCAATTTTTATATTAAATTTATTTAGCGATATAATTTTTTTTTCATATTCAAATTAACCATTGCTAAAGTAAAAAAATATAAATACAAACATTTTTAAACATAAATAATTAATTTAATAAAAAATGAAAAATACTACATTACTATAAAAAAAATTAAGATAAATAATCTTGAGTTAAATTTTTCCTTAAAATATATAAAGAAAAACTAATTAAAATTATAAAGAGGATTACATCATTACAAAAATCCACATTCATCTAATATAAATAATAATCAATAAAATATACGAATTATTAATAAAATTATTTGTAAACAAAATAATTAATGTTTAATATAAAATAAAATTTATATTTACTTTTTTATTTATACATTAGTATAAATAAATAATTAATATTTATAAATCAACAATTTTATTAAAAAAATTATTTTGTTTTATTTTATTTTATGAAGTATGTAAGCATGGTAAGATTACATTTGATATTATCATATTTTAAAGTCATATTTGAAACTTAGCCAATACATTTACTTTTTTCCTTACGCCAACTATTTCTAGCCATATATACTTAAATTTCTCTGTATTAAACTAATAAATCAAAAAGAGGCATAGAAAATGAGTGCTATAAAGAAAGAAAGTATAATAAAAAATAATATTGTGAAAAATAGACAACCTATCACAAACGTGTAGCGGTGCTATGTTGTAATAAATTGGTAAAACTTTACCATAAACATTGTATAGAATTTGTAAACACATTATTTATTTAATTAATTAACCATATCTTCATAGAATATAATTGATTGTGACAAAAGACTATATGATAATTTAATTTAATTTAATTAATTACAAGTGGCACACAACATTTTGATAATGCCATGAGCTATGTCTCTAAAAGTATAAAGTAAAAGCTTTCTATTTCAGATTAGCTTCCATGATTACTTCAATATCTTTATGAATAGTGAAATCTCTTTTTTTGCATTGTGACCAACCTCTCATGATTATTCATGTGCTGCTCTCCATGACCACATTTAATTGTGTTAAGTAGGATAGTTAATTTGGTTACTAAAATTAACTAAATTATATTTTAATCATGAAATTGAAAAAAGTACAATTAAATATAATTTAAAAGACTAACTTGATTAATATTTCCAAATTTAGAGACACTAAATTGATGAGTCATTCATCTATAAGATATCTATTAGCATGTTAGAGTGACCTTTTAAGATTCCAAGCTAAACATATAAAATATCTTGGATGATCCTTTATCTATTCTCTATACAAATCGTTTTGTGATCACATAAAAAAAATATATTCTTCCACTCTTCCCTTTTCAATCCTAACTTTGTGACAACAATTATGACTATTAAAAAGACACAACACCTTTCTCTTCATTTCTTGTATTCATATAATCCCTATCATATTTAATTAGTTGGTGTTGTAATTTATGTCACCTTACAATAGGTTCATTTTCAATCCTTTATTATCTATACATGCTTTATTTATTTTCTTCATTTCTAACGTATGATAAATTTCATTAGTTTTTTCAAAGTGAGATTGAGTTTTATTTGATTTGGTTTGGTTTAAGGTTGTTTTGTTTTATGTTAATTTGAAATGTCTCCGCCAAATTTTCCTCTCCGTTGGGAGAGTACCGGCGATCAATGGTGGTATGCATCGCCGATAGATTGGGCTGCAGCGAATGGTCATTATGATTTAGTTCGCGAAATGCTTAGAATTGATAGTAATAATTTGTTCAAACTCACTTCCCTACGCCGAATCAGGCGTCTGGAAGTAGTTTGGGATGATGACGAAGAACTCTTCAACAATGTAGCCAAGTTTCGATCGCAAATAGCACATAAACTTCTTTTAGAAAGTGAGTCCAAAAAAGGGAAGAATTCTTTGATCAGGTCAGGCTATGGCGGGTGGCTAATGTACACGGCTGCATCCGCCGGAGACGTGAACTTTGTTCAAATACTTCTTGAGAGGAATCCATTGTTGGTTTTTGGTGAAGGAGAATATGGTGTTACTGATATACTTTATGCTGCTGCTAGAAGCAAGAATTGTGAGGTTTTCAGGTTACTTTTCGATTATGCAGTCTCGCCGAGATTTGTTAATGGTAGAAATGGGATTGTTGGGGAGATTCCTCATGTTTATAGATTGGAAATGATTAATAGAGCTGTTCATGCTGCGGCTAGAGGCGGTAATTTGAAGATTTTGGAGGACCTTCTTGCAAATTCTGATGATATTTTGGCTTTTAGAGATGCTCATGGTTCAACTGTTTTGCATGCTGCTGCTGCTAGAGGGAAACTTGAGGTAACTTTGTTCTCTTTTATTTGAATAAATCCAATAGTCTAGTTGAATCGGACCGAACCAATTCAACTATGGATTGATTCAACCGATTTTTTAGTACATTTTTTTAATACTTTTTATATGATTATCGTTGTTCAGATACGCTGTTAATGCAGTATTAAATCGATAAATAGATATATGAAATCTTACAACTTACTCGCTCTCTACTAAATTTCATTAACCACGTATTTGAATATCATTAACCACGATTTTCAGGTTCTCAAATCTACATGTAATTGAAAAACATGAAATCGTGGTTAAGGAAGTTCAATCTCGATATGTTATCATTGATTAAACTGCGTTAATTGTGTAAAAAGTTGTCGAATTCAGGTATTCGAAATTGTTCTTCAAATAACATTCAAAACCTATTCATGAATCTCAAAATGCAGGTAGTTAAATATCTTGCATCATCCTTTAACATAATCCTCAACTCAACAGATCATCAAGGAAACACTGCATTACATATAGCCGCTTCGCGAGGCCAATTATCAGCCGCTAATGCTCTAATCGCTTCGTCTCCATCACTAATCTCTCAAAGAAACAACTCAGGAGCAACTTTTCTCCACAAAGCTGTTTCCGGTTTCCAAACGCCTGCATTCCGAAGATTTGACCGACAAGTCGAGCTTCTAAGAAACTTATTAACCACAAATCGCTTTCACATCGAACACATCATCAATCTCAAGAACAATGACGGAAGAACAGCGCTGCATATGGCGATCATAGGTAACATTCACATTGATCTTGTTCAACTTTTGATGACAGCACCAAATATAAATCTCAACATATGCGACATTCACAGCATGACACCACTTGACTACCTTAAACAAAATCCTAATTCGAAAAATTCAGATATCTTGATCAAGAAACTGTTATCGGCTGGTGGAATGTTCAGTTTTAGAGGCCATGATTCGAGAAAAGCTATAGCTTCGCATTTGAGAATGCAAAGTAATATAGGAACTAGTCCAGGCACGATGTTTCGATTACAAGACTCAGAAATATTTTTATACACCGGAATCGAAAACGTGTTGTCAAATCATCATCGCGGAATCATTGGAGCGAGCAATTCGTCTTCGTCCGAAAACATTCCTTATGAACCATCAACCAATGAGAGTTCTAGTAAGAAAATAAGTTCTGTTAACTATGCAGCATCAAGGTTGAAAAAAGCACTTCAGTGGAGTACTAAAACAAAAGAGAAGAAAAAAGTCGAAAGATCGAAGAAATTATCAAATGATGAAGTTTCGTTGGATTCATCATGCAAGAAATTGAGTACTAATAGTGTTGATGAAGTTTCACTTAGACAAAGATTTTCTTCAGCTTCTTCTTCAAAGCCCAACACGATTCCAACCAACAAAAGAACACTTTCGGTTAGGAGTTATCAATCGAGTCCTAATGCTAAGAAGAGATTCGCCTCGGGAAGATCAAGATCAAGTTCGTTTTCAAAATCATCATTTTCTTCGCCGAAATCATTTGATTATAAACAAAAAGGTGTTTATATCGATCACAACGAAATTGTTGCTGGACCATCTTGCTTGAATCAACAACTACCTCGTCATGATGACGATAATGGTGACGAATCGCCGAAATTGGTTAAGAAAAATTCTGTTAGCAGGAAGTTGAAGGGTCACTATTTCTGTTTTGGTGCACCTGGTCTTAATGTGAAGAATTCAGTTCATAAAGCAAGTGCTGTTGCTGTGGCTTAACTGGAATAAGGTAAGATTAGTTTATGATTAGGCTAATGTGAAATAATGAAGGGAAAAATGTGATTGCTTGGTCAATAAGAAACATGAATTATAGATTGTATTATAGTTTTGTTAAAATTGAGATTAGCTTAATCTCATGAACTTCACATGTTAACCGAAAACTTCTGTGTTGTAATATGCTTCTTATGGTATTGGGATCAATTTACTATTATTTGACTATATAACATCGAGATTTTAAATTGGAAATGCATTTAAGTTTTTGACACGTCGACTCGATATCCACAATATCCATATTTGTGATTAGTTGTTTTGATAAATAGTCTTTCATGCGCGCAATTGTAAAGATTAATTTTTGAAAATAAATGAGCTTCATTTAAAGATTGACATTTTCTAAATAGTCTTTTTTTCTTTCTCTTATACTATTATGGTTTCTCTAATTTTTATTTGATTTAGAGTTTTATCCTGTCAGAATAAGTTAGTTTATATGAACAACTCTGTTAAATCTAAAAAAAAAAGTCCTTTTAAAGAATTTTTGTTTAAATTTCTAAAAACCACTAGGTTTAATACCTTTTTGGTCTGATATGTTAATTTTGAAATTCATTTTTGTTTCCTTATTTGAAAAAGATTCATATTAATTTTTTAAAATGTACAATTTAAGTTTTTTTTCTCTTTAATTAGCGACTACTTTTTAATTTTTGTCGCCATTATTTAGATCAAAAATATTAATATAATACAATTTGAAAAGTTAAGAGAAAAATACAGACCACTTTTAAGTTAAAGGACAAAAATATAGTTATAGATTAAGATAAGATAAGGGAAAAAAATGATATGAAGCCAAACTACTACTACACTAGTTGATATAATTCTGAAATTGATTAATTAGTCACGGTTTTGAACCGTCACAATGTTTAATCTATTTATTTTACTCCATCCTTTTAAAATGAGTGTCGTTTAGAAAATAAAAATGAAGGTGAGAAAAATACAAGAAATGGGAGGGGGTTGAATTAGATTTTCTAATAGGTTTGTTCTTTTGAGAAATATTTCGCTAGCTAACTAGAAAGAAAATAACTTGATAAAGACTATACAAGACACTTTAGTTTATCCAGGTTCACCTTTAACTAGGTTATTCATGTCCACCCTCCTCAGGTGATTTCGCCTTCAATAAGGACTTAATCCACTAATCTCAACAGATTACAGATGCACGGGCTACTCACCGTTGACTAACCACAACCGTCTAAGAGTCTACGTGACACCTTAACCCTCTCAAGTCTCGGACTAACAAAGCTAGTCACTTGAGGTAATAATCAATTCTTAACATAATTACAATCAATTGTTTTATAATGTTTGCTTCTAAATAAGCAGACTAAGACAACTATGAAGATTAAAGTCTCTAATACAAATAATGAGCAACAACTCTTTGTATTGAGAATTCTAAGATTAACATACAAATAATGAGCAACAACTCTTTGCGTTTAATCTCTAATATCTTAACACAATAATGAGCAACAACTCTTGTGTTCTTGATATTTCTCTAGAAGAATATATGTAGATGTATATGAATAATGATTCTTCTTTTCTCTTAGTGTTTCACAATATTTCAGCAATTTGATTCAAGCGTGTTAATGGTTGATCGTGCTTCAATCTTCAAATGCTGATGAGGTCTCTTTATATAGGCTTGAGAATAAGACCGTTGGTAATACGAAGATGTCACCTTCACTTGCCAGCTATAGTAACAGTAGTATTTCATCGTGGGAGGCAACATAGTACAATACGTAAGCAAGTAGTAGAGTATTTTAATCGTATTGACTGTACTGTACACTTCATGGCTAAGTTTCTTTAAGACTTTATCTTCTGATGATTTGCTTCTGATTGAAGTAGTAAGATTGAAAGATATCTCTTGATGTTGTCTTTGTCTTCTTTTCTTCTTGCTGGATTGTTTCTGATATGAGGAGTGATAATGATCCAGAAGATTCTTTTTTGTTGTAGAGTCATAGTCTTTCAGATATTTGAACATTATCTTCAGATATTCAAGCAACAACTTATATGATGAACAACTTCTTTGAGTGAAATCTCTTCAGTTCTACTTCTTGAGTTGATCCTTGATTCTTGAAGCAACAACTTATATCAATATATCTGATTTTGATGTTGAGTTCCTTCTTTCTGTTCCCTTGAATTTTGATCTTTGGATTGAGTTGAAAGCAACAACTTATTATCAGCTACATCTTTGTTGTTTGATCATGAATTCCTTTCTTCCTTTGGTTGGAAGTTGACCATGTTCAATCTTCTTAAACCTGAAGAGTTAGATTGGCATGTCTGCCATTCGCAACTTGAGGGTAAAAGAGGATTGAACACTTAAGTGCCATAAATTTATACTCGTCTGTGCAAGAAGTGATGTTGTTGGTTAATTGTATTGAGAATGGGCTTATAGATGCCATTTGGAGAGGTGACGGAGAGTCGCCAGAGATGGCTTATAGATGCCATCCAAAGTAATTGCTGACTTCAACTGGAAGAAGTATCAGAATAAATCCACGCTTGATTTAACCTGAGCCAGAAAATGTATGCGACTGTCTTCAACTGGAAGATGTATCAGAATAAATCTATGGTCGATTTAAACTGAGGCAGAAGATATCCATGTTATTATTTATCTGGAAGAAGTATCAGAATAAACCTACAGTCGATTTAAACTGAGCCAAAAAATGTTGTCTTGACTTTAACTGGGAGAAGTATCAGAATAAACCTATGGTTGATTTATTCTGAGCCAGAAAATATCTTCAACTGGAAGAAGTATCAGAATCAATCTATGCTTAATTTAATCTGAGCCAGAAGATGCTTGCGCTCGTTTTTATCTGGAATAAGTATCAGAATAAATCTAGCTTGATCTAAACTGAGCCAGAAAATATCTTGCCGGAAGAAGTATCAGAATAAATACACACTTGATTTAAACTGAGCCGGAAGATTTTTTTACGACTGATTTCAACTGGGAGAAGTATCAGAATATATCTATGGTTGGTTCTATCTGAGCCAGAAGATGTACATGTTCGACTTTAACTGGAAGAAGTACCAGAATAAACTTATGGTTGATTTAAACTGAGCTAGAAAATATCTTCAACTGGAAGAAGTATCAGAATAAATCTACACTCGATCTAAGCTGAGCCAGAAGAATGTCTACTAGAAGAAGTATCAGAATAAATCTATGCTTGATTTAAACTGAGACATCAGATGTTTATGCTTGACCTTAACTGGAAGAAGTATCAAAATAAATCCATGCTTGATTTAATATGAGCCAGAAAATGTCTACGACAATTTCAACTGGGAGAAGTATCAGAATAGATCTACGCTCGGTCTAAACTGAGCCAGATGAATGTTGTCTTTGAGAAGATTTTCTGGTCATACAGGTAATTGATGATATTTGTCTGTTAATTGATCTTTCCTGAAAAGGTAAAGAGTTAGTTGTATGCAATGTTATGATGTATGGAATGCATTGCGTAATGATGTTCTCAAAATAAATGAGACTGTGTTATATGCGTTTTGTATGCATATGCTATATTGTTCGTGAATGATGTATAAATATGAAACATTGTTGAAATGTATTTGTAAACTAGAGACGCATTTTTATTTGAGAAAAATGAATCCCTGACTGTTGCTGGAGATGAAGAGTATGTGTATCTTTGGTTTCCCGGGGGTTGTCTCTGCTGGGGATTCCTGCATTTTGTTTGAGGAAACTCCGTTGGGGAATGTTGATTTCTGCCCGGGGAGAAGAGTTCAAGAACATTAGTTATTCATCACTCTACTGGGGATTATGATTCTTGTATACCCTGACTGGGGATAAAAGAGATGGATATCCTCTCGAGGTGCTGCTTGACCGGGTTTCTGATACGGATACTGACTCGTCTGGAGAGATTAAGGTTGAACGATATCTAATCCATTTTCAAACTTAGTAGCAACTCTCTGGAGATAGCAATCCAGGATGTCCTTTGCTGGAGACAAGAATTCTGCCGGTAGTCTATGGCAGAAGTAGACTCAAGATGGGGAGATTGAACTCCACTGGGGAAATAAACCCTGTTGACGGAAATTTGAACTCCACTGGGGAAGTAAACCTTGTTTGTCTGAGGGATATTCTGCTGAGGGAACATACTTGCTGAGGAGATGAGCTTTGCTGGAGAGAAGTAGTTTGTAGGGAATTTTGCAGTTTTGAAAACTCAGTTGGGGAAGAGAATTTCCATAAACTGTAATGATTGGGACCCCGTAGGTGGATGATATTGCTGGGAAAAAGACCATATTCTTTTATCTGTTGGGGAATTTTACTGGTGAGTAAGATAAGACTACTCTGTGGGGATACTCCTATAGAAGTGATTCTGTGGGGATTTGTGGATGGCTCGAACATTATCCCAACTCCTAGAGTCTTAAGTAAACGCTTATTCCTGATTTTTGTGCATATATTTGTTAACAGTCAATTGTATTCATATCCATATGCTCATTCAATTTTAGTCATTTGACGTCTTTCAAACAAAAACAGAAAAAGTAAAAACGAAAAAGTTTGGATTTTGAATTTGTATTTTTATTGATAATTTGCCCATAAACGACGATTTTGTACAAAGAGACAGAGATCCCAATAAGGGTAAATCGTCATGAAATAAAAAGAGTACAAAGTGTAAACAAGTTAAATAGCTATGTGGAAATACTCTCGTCGGATTCCAACTCTTTCATTGCCCCAATGTCTTCAAGTATCTCATCCCTTGCTGTCTGTAATACGGTGGGATAACTGACTTGGTTTGTTTTGCGTTTGATTGCAATTGTTGCGGATAGCAAGAGTCGCCATCGACTTTTCTTTTATCCAATAAGGAAAGGGTGAAAAGAACAGGAAAGACCTTTGAGATGTTTTCTTGAGTTCGGGGGGTAGATTATGAAAAGGGAAGGTGTTAGTACCCTTTTCATCCATAGTTATCTATGGGCTCTTAGTTGCTTGCTAGATCACTTAAAAAAATGCTTTGTTTGAAAAT